TTAGGTCATGATAAATATTCCTTTCTTTTCTATGTCATACATATCATTTCAATTCGATTCGAAGTTATTCGATCAAAATCACTATTTGCTTCGAATTCGCTTCGAACCTAAAATTCACTATTCGCACAAGCCTCCTCTTCACCCATCCACTGCATGGCGAAGTAGTTCTGGCCGTCCAGCGACTAGCAGACTTTAATTTGTGTGACGTAACTTGTCAAAGGCACCACTTGTCGACGATGTCGCCGTCACGGAAGGCAGCAAATCGGTGTAGCATCCTTACTGATGCACAGTTCGTACGGGTCGATATGCCATCGCACATTTTAATTTTCGCTTGGTAACGTACACTAGTCGGTCCCACAAACTCTTCGAAGTACGACGGGCAAAGCGCGTGCACGTTTCCTTTTGCCATATCGCACGAATGATGTCAACAAGCTCCCAACCGGCAATAAGCTGCACGTGCAGCCTGACCACGGTGTAAGAAGGAGAGGTGACTGAACGGCGCTCCTGTAGCGCGGCCCCGTAATGGACGGAGTTCTCCGGCGCGATAGCAGATGGCGCCACAAACTGCGGCCCATCGCTTCGCGAAGCGGCCCTGTCAGGACGGAGGGCTTGCGGCTTGCTAAGCCGCAAATAGAAGCCGTTGGGGTTCATTATGATCGTAGATTTTTCCTTACATCGCAAACGAGGGCTTAGCCCCGCAACTAGTTCGACAGATCTCGCTAGCTGCTGGCGCTCACAACGATCATCAGCAGAGCCGCAACGGGCAGTTCGCGGTGGCTCGCGCATTTCGCCTTCTGCGCTCGAAACATCGTCTGCTAAAACTTCCTACTTCAGTTTACAATAAATATATACGCTACCGCTAGCGGGTTTCTGGGAAGACGCTTTTGTTGGTTTCCGAGTCTAATTTACGAAGACTAACAAGCTACATGTACTTCCTGAATGTTAGCAAGTATCGTGAATCAATCATGCGACCATAGTATATTGGGGTGTTTCACTTGTTGGTAATGCAAATAAGAAAATGGTGGACTTTTATTTCATGGTTTCGGTGGCATATAAATAATAGGACAGATTCTCTCAATTTTAATTGCCTGTTTAATGTGCCTTCAAAGCAAAAAGCAAGGTCACTTCTGTCACTGTAGCACAGCTAGGTCACTGTAAAGCACAGAGCAACTCGGACAAGCTTGGCCCGCTTCCTCATTTCTTGGCTTTTCTTTGCCTCCTTTTGTCGCTGCTGCTTGCAGTGCTGCTGCATCCTCAAGCAAATGTAGTAGTGCAGCACCTTTGCCATTACGTCTGCTTTGTGCAGGGAACATGGGAACATGAAAGGATATGTAAGCAGCACATGGTCCAGTGTCTTACTGTACACACAGTTGTCGCTGGGCTGCTTCGTGAACTCCTTTTCCGTTGCCTTCAGGAGGTAGTATATGTTCAAGTTTGGATGGATGAGCTTACCACGCGTTTTGCAATTCACCAGATCTGCCTCTGGAATGCCACAGAATCCAGTTTGTTTAATGAGTCCATCTCTGCAGGTAGCACACACGGTCTTTTTACCAATATTTCTGCAAAGATAACCGGTGACGGAGTAGATTATGCAATCTACCGTATCTGCCATACTGTAGTCATGCTCCAGGACATCTTCACATTCCCAACTTCCTTCCTCAATGAGTCCATTGAGTCTTGCTCTCAGGCTGTCAAGCCTGCTCGTTTGCTGCTCATCTGGCTGAAATGCCAACCTCATATCACCAAGAGTGATGCAAGGTCTTTTCTCTTCGGCATTTACCGTGCAGTTCCCAAATTTTGGTGGTTTGAGAAGGGTGTACAGGGAAAGCATGCGATAAAGCTGGAGAAATGTAGAGAACGTAGGGTGTTCGTTCTGACCTCCAGCTTGCCGAATCGTTCCGAAGAAACACTCGAGGCGGTCTTGATTCAGTTTTGCTGTTAGGATGTAGTCAAAGCCACACTCAGTCAGTAGATAACTTCACAGTTGAAAAACTGACTTTAAAGTCACCCTGAAGCCTTCTGCAGTAGAGGGAGTCAAAAAGAAGTCCTTGTGAATTTTTCCATTGACAACTTCTTCCCATTTGTCAAGCCACTGTAACGCGTCTTCAATGACTTGGAAGTCATTTCCACCCAGTCGCACTCCCTCAGCCGGATACCGACGATTCAAGGCATCAAACAGATTGTTCATGAGTAGAGTAAACTGCTCTGTGGGCTCCATATCATACAAGCGGGTCGCACGCCGCTTAGCGTAGAACTGAAGCCCCTTGGCAACAGACTCGCTAAATATCTGCGTTGCCAGCTTTACTCTCATCTTCAACATGTTTGAAGGGTTCGCATGATTGTATGTGATTTTCGGGCCTGCTCTTTCATCCTCTGCGTGCTTTGTATCTGCTACATACAAAGCGTCATAGCATGACCACCGTACACACTTCGCATTGATGTGGAACTCCTTCTTGCTCTAGAGGCGGTTTTTAATGCATTTAAATAAATGCGGTGCATCTGAGAGCATGTAAACTTGCCTTGAACTGTCAGATGGCTGCTCAAAAGAGTTGGTTTTACTTCCCAAAACACAACTAACTCCGAAATGCTTCCACATGCTACGATTGGTTGATGCACCATCACAAACAACTCCATCGATGCGTATTCCAGCTTGTTCAAGTTTCAGGATGCATTGGAGGAGCAGCCGTGAAAGCACAGTTCCTTTCGTTGGTCCTTTCGATGCAAAAACTGCAACAGGCTGGAGATAGCTGTCAGCAAATGGAGCAAAAGCAAATACAATTCCATGGTCGGCAAGCTCCTAACAGTCTCCATCGTCCTGCCCATGGTCAACCAACCCGGAGTATGTCATGGTCTTCGAATTCACGGCCAGTTCTTTCCTGACTTGAATTTCATCAAGCACCAGCATTCCTCTTCGTTCCATAGGACTCTTGGTTGCCGTCTTTGTTGTGAGGGCTGCGAGAAACCGCTCATCAAAGCCACACTTCAGTCCCATCATGCTGACGTATTTTCTGATGGTGGTGACACAGGGCAGCGGGACGATGTCATTGTTCCTCAAGAACGAGTACGTAGAGGAACTGGGGATATGAAGAAGGAGACACAGTAACAGCCAGTCATCTGTGTATCTTCGGTTTCTCTTATTTGTGCATTTTGCTGCTGAAAGACACTCTGAAATGAGAAGTAGCTGTGCTGACGGAATGTCGTGCTGCTGCAGGCGGTGCTGGAGGTCTTCATTTTGAAGCGACTTCATCTTGTTCTTCGACTGCTTCAGTTCCATCTATAGCATCTTGTTCCTTGACAAAAGGCGCGCCTTTGACCTTGTCAGTGACGTCTTGGCCCTTCGGAGTGTTTAAATTTTTCCCCTTTCTTTAGACTGCACCGGTATCCTAATGCGCTGAAGCACCCTCCGTCCCTTCTTTCTGGCCACCTGACGAGACGTATGGATGCGGAGGGTGTCACAAAGAGAGCAGAGAGCTGCAAGCCTTGCAAACACTTCCTTCGGCCACTGTCATTGTGCACCTTGAATGCCTCCATTTTCCTAGAAGATCGCCATAAGCACACTCATGCTCCGCTTTGGGATATTCCTTGATGCTCGGTCCTCTTGAGCAAACCTTGATTGCTTCTACGGCGTTCACAACTTGTTCCACATCAGAAAGGGTCGTCACGCTCGCAATTAGCCCAGCGGCGGCAGGTTTGAGGGACTTCCCGAGCAGAACAATGTTCACACTCATGTCACTTTTGATGTGCACTGCCTTAGATATGTAGAGATTCGCTGCCGCAGAATCTTGCTTCACAGCCATTTTCGAGTACACAATATCTCGAATGCCTTCCATATCTACGCGATATACAGCCCATGAGGATTCGGGAAGACGCGCGGATGGTGCACTTTCAAAATGTACGTCAAAGGCGGATGGGCGAAGCTCTGCAATTCCAGTTCTGTTCTCTGTTAAGTCAAGCGTGATGTCATAACCTTCCGGTGGATTGACAAGTGCATTTGCTGCACTATGACTGCATTCTCCATTCCCGGGAGACAGGCGGCGTGACTTGGCTGGCAGCTCACTGGTGTTAGCTTTCCGCTTCACCGGTTTTCTCGAAGGCTTCACTTTCTTCGTGAGGTAAGCGGGGCATCCATCAAAAATTGATGGCACCGCGTCCTTCGCCAACGTAGCTCTACGCTCACCTTGCATGAGGATATGTCCCTTGTACTCGGCACTCCACGTCTTCACCACGAAATGTGGAGCAAAATGCCGCTCGCACACAAGGTCCTTCCGGGTCAGAACACGGTCCTTTCGTGGGATCGCTCGCCTCCATACCGCGAGTTTCTCGGCGTCTGCGGGCGGCTTGAAGAGCGAGAATTTCTTCTTGCACGACTTGTAGCCGCTGTTGCACTGCGGAACGGAGCACTTCCTCATGTCACTGATGCCTTATGAGGCCATAAAGCACGCATGCGAGGTGTGACAAATAAAATAGCGGGAACAAAGCAACGAAGCCGACGCCTGCTGTCACACTCGACTACGGGGTGCGCTGAACAAGCGGCCGCTCGGGAGGGCTAGAACGACGCCCGCCATCTAGTGGAGAGGCGGCCAACTGCGAGCGCTACGGAGTGCGCTCGTCGCGGCGGCTCGCCGCAGTCGTTCGGTCACCTCTCCTTCTTACACCGTGAACCAGACTAGTTTGACTCAATGTTGACAAACATGGGGTTGCTCATTTTTCCAGCCGGAAATGATGTCACATGCAACCCGTGTATAGAAAGTGTCTGTGTAGCAGCTTGAAGTTGCCTTTGAGTTGGTGGACTATCAGACGGGAGACTTCCGAAATACCCTAGACTATAGATAGTTCATTTCAGCACCACTAGTATGTTGCATGTGATATAGATGAGTCTTCCGAAACACCCTAGACTATACGTAGTTCATTTCAGCACAACTAGCGTGTTGCATGTGATATAAATACCTGTTCTTGTGAAAAATTACAAAAAACTCTTTCTCCCTCTGTGTTTGGTGCAGATGGTTCGGGTAACAAGCAGCAGCAGCAGCAGCAGTGGCCCGGCGGGGGTGGTGGTCCATCAGGAGGAGGAGGCCGCCGCGGAAAGTGGGGTGGCCAGCAGGGGGAGGGTCGTCGACCTGCCCCACAGCGCAACCGCTCGACACCAGACAAGAGGCCTCAGCCCAAGGGACAGCCCCAATGTGCTGCGCAGTCATCTCATCAGAACTCACAGGGACAGCGCAGTCAGGTCAGTGGCTGGCTTCTAGACAATTTTCGGGATACTAAACATGGCAAAAACTTTTCTTGACCTTGGAGTGAAGGCTATGGAGGCAGGTCTTCTGCCCATTTGTGTCACTCTGCTAGTATGGAAGCCTGCAGCTTTTGCTCGCACACGTTAATTCATTCTACATACACAACATACATGAAAATGCGAATGGGGGAAACATTTTGATGGCTCAATGTACATTACAGTGCCAAATTACGAGTATATTTTTCCTAGAGAACTAAACAACGAGTTTGCGGTTGAACGCTAACCCAGTAAGTCATGGACGACATGTTTACTTTAAAAAATGAGCGTGCTGAAAGGGGGTGCCATCTAAGAGATGGAAAGGAGAGGGAGGCATTCTTGCCAAGTTCTCGAAATTATTTGCCCCGCAGGGGCGCCTGCGCAAGTAGGCGTTTGGTGTGTAACGACACCACGGACCCGAGCTAACGGGGGAGTTTCGGCTCCCTCCCACGCCTAGCCGTGCGTGGCTTTGCCGTGTCCGGGGAAAAGGGGATCCTGGGGGTTGAGCCAAAGCTGGGTGATAGGACCTTGAAGGCCCCCCGGCAGAGGCAACACACCTCTTTGGCCCCGGCTTCACGTAGACGGCACCCCTGGGCTGACCCACGCAGGGGAAATCGGCAGTCGCCTTTTCCTATCTCTCTCTTCCTACATCTTAGTCTTTTCTCGTCTTTAAATCTGTCCTGTCTTCTTCTCTCTTCCATTTACTTCCGATTTTTCATGGCGGCAAGGGTTAACCTTGTGTAATTACTCAAGCTTGAGTAGTTATATTTGGTTATAGTGGCAATGTACGGCTGGCGTTTGCAGCCTTATGCTATTAAGTGCTTCAGCGTCCCCTGGTTGGACTCCATGGTGGGTGGTCGCCATTGCTGCCGAACAAAAAGTACACTACTATGGGAACACCTGCATTTCCCCGTCTCCTAGATCGTCTCCCGCCTAAGAGGGGACGCACCGATGACATATCAATTTTCAGCCAACCCAGACAATGCTTTCCCAAATTCCATGTTGTGCACAGCGAAAACCCAACAAAACAAGCCACAGTAATATCTCCATTTCTTGTTGCTAAATCCCTGACAGAGGTCTTTGGCCCAGGATACAAGGTTACAAAGATGGCTAGCGGAGACCTTCTCCTTGAGCTGCCTGAAAAACACCACTATGAAAAACTTGGCAGTCTCGTAGCATTTGGTAATATCCCAGTATCTATTTCACCTCATAGATCAATGAACACCTCACGCGGAGTTGTTTCAGAAGCAGACCTTCTTGAAATGTCTGAACAGGAACTGCTTGAAGGGTGGAAAGAGCAAAATGTCACAGATGTGAAACGAATCGTCATCAGACGAGACAACAAAGAAATACCTACCAAACATTTAATACTCACCTTCGCATCTAGCACACTGCCTTCATCTATAGACACAGGATACATCAAACTCTCTGTCCGTCCCTACATTCCCAATCCAAGACGGTGTTATAAATGTCAACGATTTGGTCATGGCTCGCAGAACTGCCGGGGTCAGGAAACTTGTGCAAGATGTGGTAGCCACGGCCACCCATCTGATAACTGTGTTACTACGCCTCACTGCGTGAATTGTGACGGGGAACACGCCGCGTATTCGCGTTCGTGTCCTAACTGGAAGAAAGAAAAAGAAATAATCACTCTTAAAGTCAAAGAAAACACCACATTCAAAGAAGCAAGACGAAGAGTGTCGCCATTTTACGGCGCAACATATGCCGATGCGGCGCGTCAGGGGGCAACGCCGCACCAGCCCTCGCCACCCCTTCGGCCTGCGCAGAGCGAGCCGTCGGCTGTGGCACCTGCCCCCAAGGCGGCTGTAGCCCAGGCTACACCGCCTACTCCCAAACAGAGACCGGAGACTCCAGAGTCTTCGAGTCTCAAGGCATCCCCTCACCAGGCGAGGCCCAAAATCCAAACTAACAGCCCGCACGTGCGGGCATCCAGTGCCTCCGAGGAGGCAATGGATACGTCGGCACCCTTGATGCCGAAAGAGCGGCGTGGCTCTTTGGAGCGCGCCAAGAAAACAAAAAAGCAAATAACAGGGCCTGGTGACGGCCCTGTTAAGTGAACTCAAACTCCCCGTCTAAACAGCCACTCGCTTTTCGTACACACAGCATTATTTTACATTCACCATGAACACTCAAATTATACAATGGAACGTCAGGGGCCTTCTCAGAAACCTTGACGACATCCAAGAACTCCTACACGAACACTCACCAAAAGTGCTGTGTGTACAAGAAACACACCTTAATTCAAAACACACAAATTTTCTTCGCAAATACGTTATTTTTCGAAAGGACCGTGATGATGCCATGACATCATCCGGAGGTGTTGCCATCATAGTGAATCAAGGAATTGCATGCACACACTTACAACTCCAAACATCCCTTGAGGCAGTGGCTGTTCGAGCGGTTCTTTTTGATAAACTAATCACAATCTGCACTATTTACATTCCTCCTAGCTATCAGCTGCAAAAACGTGATTTACACTCTTTAATTGATGAACTTCCGGAGCCTTATGTTCTCCTTGGAGACTTCAATGCGCATAGCAGGCTATGGGGAGACTCTCGTTGCGACGCGCGAGGTCGACTGATTGAACAATTCCTTCTCTCGTCGAACGCATGTCTCCTAAATAGAAAAGAACCAACCTATTATAATCTCGCACATAACACCTACTCCTCCATAGACCTAAGCATAGTGTCTCCATCTCTTGTGCCTCTACTCCAGTGGAAAGTCGTCAGTAATCTGTACGGAAGTGACCACTTTCCCGTAGTTTTGAGCACAACTACAGCAACTGAGTGTACACCCTGTGTACCCAAATGGCTCATAAACAGAGCCGACTGGGAACGGTTTCATACCATCGCTCGTATAGATTGGAGTGACATATGTACTTTAAGCATTGATGTTGCTGTCGACTACTTCACAGCTTTTTTGATTGATGCTGCAACAAAATGCATCCCACAAACAAATGGGCACCCAGGAAAACGGCGTGTGCCATGGTGGAACTCTGAATGCCGAAACGCGCGCAAACAGCAAAACAGAGCTTGGAGGCTGCTTCGGAACTCACCGACAGCCGAAAATCTTGACACCTTCAAGAAAATAAAATCTCAAGCTAGGAGAACGCGTCGGCAGGCCAGAAGAGAAAGCTGGCAGAAGTTTTTGTCAGGGATCAAATCATACACACAGGAGGCTAAAGTCTGGAACATGGTCGGTAGGATAGCAGGAAAACAAGTATACACACTTCCACTCATGGACACTCGGGGTGATACCTTGGAAGATCAGGCAAACTTCCTCGGTGCACACTTCGAACAGGTGTCCAGCTCATCCCACTATACTGACACTTTCCAAAAATACAGAACAAGAATAGAAAAGCAGAAACTTGAACACAAATGCACTAGATCCGAGGCATATAACCAAGCTTTCAGTCTAGCTGAGTCTGCAAATGTCTCTAAACTCCTGCAGTACTTCTGCCCCAGGTTCTGACCGTGTGGTGTATGAAATGTTAAAAACCTACCAATCGAAACACGAAAAACCTTACTTTGTTTGTACAATGCTATCTGGTTTTCTGGCGCTATCCCTACCTCCTGGAAAGAGGCTATTATTATTCCCATTTTGAAAGAGGGCAAAGACCCTTCTTTACCCTCGAGTTATAGGCCTATAGCACTTACAAGCTGCTTGTGCAAAGTCTTCGAAAAAAGGATAAACTGCCGACTTGTACATTTCCTTGAAACAAATAATTTGCTCGACCCATTTCAGTGCGGGTTTCGAGACGGTAGATCCACCACAGACCACCTTGTTCGTATCGAGGCACAGATCAGAGACTCTTTCGTCCATAAACAATATTTTCTCTCTGTGTTCCTCGATATCGAAAAGGCTTATGATACAACATGGCGTTTCGGAATTCTAAGAGACCTTTCCCACCTTGGCGTGCGCGGAAGAATGTTTCACATAATCAAAAGTTACCTGTCAAACCGGACATTCCGTGTCCGAGTGGGCACGGTTCTTTCCCAAACATTTGTTCAGGAAACAGGCGTGCCACAAGGTGGTGTACTTAGCTGCACACTTTTTCTCATAAAAATGAATTCCTTGCGCTTGACCATCCCTCGCAATATGTTTTATTGCACATATGTCGATGACGTCCAGCTTGGCTTTAGGTCTTGCAATCTGGCATTGTGTGAGCGGCAGGTTCAGTTAGGTTTAAACAAGCTCTCCAAATGGGCAGAGGAAAACGGATTCCGACTGAACCCACAAAAAAGCACGTGTGTTTTGTTCTCTCGAAAGAGAGGCATGCACTCAGAACCTGACATTCGACTGAACGGGCAACGTCTGTCCGTCAAAGCCGAGCATAAATTCTTAGGCCTAATCTTGGACAACAAGTTGACCTTCGTGCCGTACATCAAGTATCTAAAAACAAAATGTTTAAAAGCCATGAATGTTTTAAAAGTGTTGTCACGTACTACTTGGGGTAGTGATAGGCAATGCCTCATGAACCTCTATAGAAGCCTCATTCGCACCCGCTTAGATTATGGGGCCGTTGTCTATCAGTCTGCTACTCAAAGTGCCTTGAAGATGCTGGACCCCGTGCACCATTGGGCATCCGCCTTTCTACGGGTGCTTTTCGCACCAGCCCCGTAGAAAGCCTGTACGTTGAGTCAAATGAGTGGTCGCTTCATCTGCAAAGAACCTACATGTCCTTTGTTTACTTCCTTAAGGTGAAAGCAGACAAGGAGCACCCCTCATACTCTACAATTAATGATTTGTCGAGCTCAACTCTGTTTCAAAACAGGCCTTCGATGAGGCAGCCCTTCTCAGTTCGCCTGAAGTGTCTAGCTCAAGAAACTGCAGTGTCACTTGAACACAGTTTAATGGCTCCTGTAGCATACCCGTCACCGTGGCAGTGGCAGACTATAGACTGCGATGTGTCTTTCCTAGAAGTTACAAAACATGCACCTATTGTCCATATCCGAACATACTTTTTGGAACTTCAACAGAAACACACACGTCCTGAGTTCTTCACAGATGCCTCCAAGACTAACTCCTCTGTGTCCTACGCTGCTGTCGGCCCATCCTTTTCGGATGCTGGCCCTCTACATCCACGCACAAGTATCTTCACAGCGGAAGCTTACGCGATACTTGTGGCAGCTAAACACATCAAACAATTACAAATACAAAAAGCAGTAATTTATACAGACTCCCTCAGTGTAGTAACGGCTCTGCACACTCTTAAAATTTATACAGACTCCCTCAGTGTAGTAACGGCTCTGCACACTCTTAAAAAACACAAAACCCAGTCCTTGTCTCACTTTACTCCATTTTAAGCACACTCTACACCAAACAACATGTTGTAGTGTGCTGGTGACAGGGCACCGTGAGATTCAAGGCAACGTGAGGGCGGATCAGCTCGCTGCATCCGTCCATGAGAGCACCGCCATTACATCCATATCAATCCCGGCCCTTGATCTTAAGCCGTCTCTCAAACGAAACCTCCGGGACTACTGGCAGAGCAAGTGGGATACACACACACAAAACAAACTACAACTATTAAGCCACACCTTGGTCATTGGCTGCCTGTATCGAAATCGCGTCATACAGAGGTAATACTAACGAGACTCAGGATAGGACACACATACACGACACACACATATCTTTTGTCTGGTGGCGATCCACCATTGTGTGACAGATGTGGTGAACCATTAACCGTCCTTCATATGTTAATCCAGTGTAAACACTTAGAAACTATAAGAAAACATTTTACATTACCCTACCGACAACATATACCTTTACACCCTGCAATGTTCGTTGGTAGGGAACCGCTTTTTAGTCATAAATCATTGTTAGCGTTTTTAAAAGAAATTAATAATTTTCATATCATACACCCGGGCATTCCGTAGCATGACCTCTCTAGAGAGGTTTTTGCTGCGGCGGTTACACAAGAAAGCACTTGCCTCACGGCCCTTGGACGCAAGGGTATGAACGAGTGAGGCACTTGTGCTAATGCCATTCATATCCACCATTGTTTTTTATAATCACCAACTCTTGTCATCTATCCTCACCACACACACCTTTCACGGCATGGTCATGATTTTATTACCTGTATGTTTTTACCCGCCTTACCGCGAGGAATTTTATGGCCTTTATACAGCCGCTTATCACAATCATTGTCCATATTCTTAGTAACATGAACTGGCGCTCTTTGGCCGTGAAATGGCCCTTGCGCCACAAAACTTCAAACATCATCATCATCATCGAAATTATTTGTCTCATAATAAATAAAGCAGCATCTACTCTAGCAAGGCAAAAAGAGAAATTATCAGTAAACTTTATTACTTTAATTTTGGGGGGTCGGTAGCAAGCATGTGCTTCATTTCTGCACCCTTCACAGTGCAGTCAACAAACGTTGTCGCTGAGTATAGTGGAGAATTGCTTGTGTGGTTCCAGACTTTGCATAAGATGCTATTTGCTGTCTGAATTCTGGTTCGTGCATCAATGACTGTGATTAGTACTCCAAAGATCAGGAGGTTGATAGATGACAGTAAAGAAAGCCTCGATGGTGTCAATACCAGCACCAACATTATAGCAAAGGCAGTTTTAAAACTCAGTTGCACACGATTCACAGCTGCCAAGCGCCGAGCACGGTGAATGTTCCAGCTGGGAATAAGAAAAAGTGGATGACCTTATTTCAAGTTTGGCAGTTCTATGCTGCCAATTGCCAACAGGATGGGTGCCCTCCCAAGCAACTAGTACCTATATGTGTGCTTATTTTACTGGTAGGTACCCAGTGGCTAAGGCACTTTGCAAAACCTTATAGGACCACCTTTCAAGATGAAACCCAGAAACAACCAGTGCCAAATTGGTGTACTCCTCTGCCCATCAGTAAAAAAGAGTTGGTGCGGATGTAAACCGCACAACCCTGTAAATGATGCAGCTCTATGTACTGCAAAGTGCTTCGAAAGAATTGCTGCGCCAACATACTGGCGTAGTTTCTGGAGAGAAATCGAAAAATGGGGTGTCTCGCATTTGTTTCCTAGGCTAGTAAACCACTATTTGCTTCCACGGCCATGAAAGCAGTTTTTCATTCCTACTTACCATGGAAAAGTGATCGAATGCATCTCTTTGGAGTCCCTACAGGGCTGCAGTGCAGCTTCTCCCAGTCTGATGCGTTGTCCCTAATGTCGCATGTGCAGGTAGCACGCAGCATTCAGGATGACTGCGTGGAAGAAGCGCTCCGCAAGGGCAACCGAAAGGTGAACCTGAATCACCTGCTGAAGTTCACTCTGACTCCCCGAGAGAGTGACCACCACCACCACTACTGGTCTGGCCATCACCGCTCCAGCAGGCCACCTCCTGCCAAGCACTCCAAGGAGCAGTTCTTGCAGGCCAAGTGAGTAGTGGCGAGGGCAGCGCGTGTGCCATTGCAATGAGGGAGTGCACTATAGTGGCTAAATAATTGAGCTCTGATTAAAAAATTATGGATACACCTGGAGAGGCTAGCTTTTGTCGGGCAATTGCATATTGATGTTTACGGCCGCTTCCACTCGTACACATTTATGCCATTAATTTGTGGACAGTTGCTTAGCTGAAGGGCTAGTGCACACAAAGTTAGTGTTGCGAGATGAGGACCAAACCTTGGCCGCGCTTCAGTGCTGAGCCAGCCAATCAGTGTTACAGCAGGGTTATGGGGTACCCGCTTGGCTCCTTTGTCGCTTTGCAACTAAGCTGTCTTCTTGTCACTTGCATGCTTGTCAAGACAGCATAATGGATGCAATACGCTGCAGCGTTTTTCCATGTCAAGTTTGAGGGATTTGACTGAGTGCTGCTTACGTGAACCTTTTGTAATTGATGACATCTTGGGAACACAGTGGCTGACGCAAGGCACTTTTAATGCTGAGCTTGTGTTGGTATGCCAGTGGTTTACTTTCTTTTGGTCACTTGAGTCTTGTTCATAACATAGAACTTTCCAATGTCAGCCATAGAACAGCTGATAATAAAGCCAAGAAAAAAAAAAAAAGAGGGGGGGGGGGGTGTCGGGTGTTACTTGTAGCTTTGAGGGGCAGTAATTGGAACACAAATAACAATGGATAAACAACTTGCTGCCAAATGAAATTGTTCCTGTTTTCTTTCTTGGCTTCGCATATGCACTAAAATCCAGATTGATCACTTGGATTCCGTCTTTTATTTTGTTCATTTGAATATTGATATCTTTTCAGAACTCTGTTATAAAATGTGCAGAAAGCAGGCACGGAGTTCTATTATGGCCCGAGTGTGTCGAGAGAAATGTGACGTTCACCTTGTGTTTGACCTTGCCCGCAATGCCTGCCAACCTTGCAGCTGCCAGTTTGTGGTGCGCGAGGGCACCATGTGTCGCTGGAATCCGGACGTGCCCATCGCCTGGGAGCTGGTGCACGAGGTGCGAGTGCTGCAGCAGCAGAGCACGACCGGCCAGGAGGAGGAGCGCTGTCCAGTGTGCCTGGGAACTCCGCGTGCGGCCCAGATGCCCCCGTGCGGACACGTGTACTGCTGGTCGTGCCTGCTCCACTACCTGGCCCTGTCTGACCGACCGTACCGGCCGTGCCCCATCTGCGACCGGGCGTTTTCTGCCCAGCAGCTCCGCAGGCACGTGTGCCTCTCCCCAATAGAAAAACTCAAGTTTGTCTTTAACCTTGCTAAAGAAGAACTGCTATTTGGGCTAGTTGGTTTAATTCTATGTGGGCGGGGGGTAGGGGTTGCAGCGCAAGTACGAAAGTGCTGGAAAAAAGCGTACGGAAAGGGAGGAACGAAAAGAGCAAAGAGGGACAACACGAGCGCTGACTACCAACTGAATTTCAGCACTAATGTTGATACATGCAAACAGGTAAATCTTTCGACAAGCAAACGTGAGCAACGTGACTTAGCGGAGTGTCCGATAAACACGAAGGTCCAATGATAAAAGGGCTAACCTCTATCCAAAAGCGCGATCTCTTTTTCATGCAAAGAAGCCACTGAAGGCTGGCTCACGCATTCATCACCAAATTTACTGATATAGAGGTTATATAGGCTTGGATATTTCTACGTTATGTGCATAATGTTGGCTTACTTTTTGGTGCGTAGGGTGGTCCCCCAGCCACGAAGGGGCTACCAGCCTGGTGATGAGATCACCATGTGCCTGATGCGTCGCCAGAAGAACCAGCCCGGTGCCCAGCCCATGCCAGCTGACCTTTGGAGGGTGGACGACCTAGAGCCCTTCAATATTAGCCGCGGTGGGAACGATGCTCGTTTTATTCGGGGAGAGTGTCAACTGTCTGTGCTGCTTTCGGGTGCCTTAATTCTCTGGATTTACAGTCGAAACCCGCAATAACGAAACCCCGCGAGTATGAAATCCCTGCGCCAACGAAATATTTCTGGATCCCCTGCGAACGTTCATAGAAGCCCATGTATTACATATCTTGCAGCAACTAACTGTTTTTGGACAGCGATCCCGCTTTAACGAATTTTCTACCATGGTGCGGGCCTTATTTTACCCTCCCGCCAAAGGTTAACTGTCGAAAATATGCTCGTATGCGTGTTATGCGCACTCAAAATTTGTAAACGTCTGCTTTTGCTGCGCTAGCGTGGGTACCGCTATTTTTGTTTACTTAAGGGAGGACGCGGCTTTAGGATCGCAAAAAATGGAAAAAAAATCGATTTTTTGAAAATCAAGCTTTCAGTTTCTGAAACCCTTTTTCTGATTCCAAAATATTTACACTGAAAACCGCGCAGAAGTGCTTCAGGAAATTCATTTCACCCACCTAGGTAGCGAAACGTCTGGAAATCGCGAGAAAACAGCGATTTTCAAAAAATTGTGACTTCGCGATGGCGGGGCCGGGAGCCGGCTTCTTAGGCTCATTGGAAAGAGCATTTCTCCGTTTTAACTTTCCCGCCTCAGCTGGCTCCTCCCTTTAAAAACAAGCCCACAAAAAGCAAATGTTTGAAGGTCGTTTCGAGGCCCTTGATTGGCTGTGGCCGCCATGTTGCCTCAGCTCGCCTTGCCATTGGCCCGATGCTCGCTCCGGGGGATCTTTGTCTGCTGCTTGTGCGTCGTGAGGACATGGCTCTCGAAAATTGCTACTTCGTGACGTGTTCACGGCTCGATGATCACTTAAGATATAATTACGCTTTAGTTAGGAGCAGTAGGCGGATGCGCGATCAGGTTACTACGAGCGCTGCGCGTCATCGGAGTCGTCTTTAGCCCTCACTCCGCAGACAGCGAGACTGCAGGTAGGAACGACGCGCTAGCGCACTCGTGGCGACGTGCTTCATCGCAAGCAATGAAGCTGTAAGCTGCGCACTGTCAGATTACTATGAGTGGCCGCACCGGATGCACGATCAGATTACTACGAGCGGGCGCGCGGTCTACGAGCGCGGTGCGTCATCGGAGTCGGCCTTAGCTCTAACTTCGCTGACAGTGAGACTGCGGGCAGGAACGACGCGCTAGCGCATCGGAAACAACCCGCGGGTTGTGTTGGATGCGCAGGACACCTTTCGCTCCTTCGGCGCACATGACGGCGACAAAGCAATGGACCACTTTTTCCAGTGCGAAGGCAGAGCTTTGAAGTTGTTGCATGGCAAGGATCGGCAAAGTAAGTTGACCGACTTCTGGCAATAAATTTTCGTTCTGCTGGCCGTATCACTGTTTTTATGTCTCATACTCGCGGCAACGAAATTCTCGCGAAAACAAAATTTTTCGGTTTCCCCTGCGATTTGGTTATTGCGGGTTTCGACTGTACAACCACCTGGTTATTACAGTTAAAGTGGGTTCACACTTAAAACAAGCAGATTAATGAGAATGTTTCAATTAGTATTTCAGAATCAAGCTCTGCCTTGGTGCCAGCTCTGACATTCGTACCCCAGGCAACAACAGCCACCACGTAACGAGAGCGTAAAGTAATGGGCCAAGTTACCACCATATGTATAGCAACTGTTTGTCCAACTTAGTGTAACCTTGAGACTGCGTGAATCATCGTGTCCTTGGAGGCTAAGGTAGCCTGTTGTTTCGATGGCGTCTCGTGCTATCTTCTAGGCGCTCTGCTTGTGGATCATTGAGATATTGCCATTAGAGCTGTGCAAATGGTGAAATGTTGGGCGTGAAGCGAATTCAATGTTTGAAGTGCAAGTGCGAATTCGAATTGAATATCTTTTGAATAATTGTAGAATATTTTTTTTTAATACCTTGAAGCGATATTGCAGAAAAAAAAAAGTTTGAGGGAATTCCTAAGCATATTATTAGATAGCAACATGAAAATGTTTCTTTTCTTTTGGTTGATGAAGTGCTGGCGGGGTGGGGGGGGGGGGGGAGGGTGTTTCTTAGTTGTGTTATCAAGTATGAGGCAATGCAGAAATGTATTCATATGCATGATTCGGTGTAGCAAAGTTTCTGCCAACAACACTGCAGAGACGTGAAAAACAGAGGTTCAAGTTCAAGTTTATTTATTATTATTATTGCATGTACAAAAAATGGGTTACCGTATTTACACGATTGTAAGACGACCCTTTTTTTCAAATTTGACAATCCAATGTTGGGCGGTCGTCTTAGAATCGAAATCGAACCATATGTATTGTCATCTCGAATACTTTCCCGCTCAACCCAAAGCGCATAGTTTTCCGCGTGCTTATACAAAAGCTTTTCTTTTTTTAGCATCTACTGCGCGCATTACGAGTGCCTTTATGACGAGCGCACGGCTCTTGAGGGAGCACCGGTAATCGATGGAAGAGCCGCCGTAGGGGGGGTATTGGTAGTTGACGGAAGAGCTCCTCTTTGTGATACAATTTTCTAAGCGGGCGCGTCGCCGCGTGCTCCTGTCGCTTGCGTCCACGACCGGCTCTCTCGAGTCACTTCTGTCTGACATGAGTGCCGTGACATGAGGACGAAAGTTCGGAATCGGTGAATGTGTGGTGCGGCAGTGGCGGCTTCAGCGCGAGGAAATTTTCTCGTGCGACTCCAAGCGCCGTGGCTTTCGCGGGCCGAAGTCTGGCCGCTTTCCGGAACTAGAGGCGAAGCTTGCGGCCTACGTGAGGTTTTTTTTTTTTTTTTTTTGAGATGCGATTTTGGGGGGGTCGTCTTACATTCGAGTCGTCTTACAATCGTGTAAATACGGTACATAATACAAGTATGAGACTGTCAGGGGGGCCTCCTATAATTAGTAACGAACATAAAATGCTAACAGCAGCTAAAAGAGTGAACAAATAGGAAACAAAATCAAAAGAGAACAATCTATACTAAAAAAGAAAAACATGTTTACCATAGCAGCATTTTCTAAAACATCAAATACCAATACAAAACTGTGAAGTGATGTTGAAATCTATATTTCCTCAGCTTCTCCTTTGTGGAAGCCCAACTGATGGGCTGGACAAGGGTGTGCTCCCTTCGAGTCTGGAGTTCCAAATCGCCATCGTAGACAGCAATATATAAGAACATCTAAAATTTTGGATGCTAAATATCTTCGGCTGAGATTTCTTAGACTTCATGCCCGAATTTCGAATCCAAAGCGCCATTAATTAAGCCCCCACCTCTGCCACATCTGTCATCTCAATGTAGGAACAAGCGTTTTCTCCAGTCAATGCATTTGCAACTGCAGCACAGCTTGAAAGGCAGCTTTACCATAATACAAGAGTGCGATAAGGCGAAGCATATTGAAAATTTCAATGAATTATTTTTAATCAGATGACAGTACATGTCCTAGGAAAGTTCGAATAGTTGAAAAAAAGTAAAAAATTTGCACAAATTGAATCGAATAGCAAACACTATTGAAAATATATTGGAAATTTCAAACATTCGCTCACCCCTAATTGCTTCAAACTTGTTGAATTGAAAGCGTCTAACTCCTGGAGTCAGGAGTCAATTTAAAAAAAAAAGAATTACCTGTTGATATTGCATTACTTGGACATATGACTCCTTTCACAGGGGGCTACAGATATTTTCATGTCCAGTGTGTTTTATCCACGGCCTGCATTTCATTGCACAAGCTGTAGCTCCTGGTGATGAAGTTACGAAAAAGGGTTCATACATAGTTACAATAAAAGAGAAGGAGAAAATGTCACCTTCACTCCCTTTCTAAATGCCTTATGTTGTGCATCTGCAGTTGAGGCTGTATACTGTTCTGTGAAAGTTTGGCGGCTAGTCACTGCTTTATTGCACACTGCCTACGCAACTCTGAAGCTCTTTCTTTGGTTTGATGGTGTGCAGAAGAGCGACTGACGTGCCACCAGAGGGTGCTTGTGGCGTGCCCTAAGCAGCTGGGTGCCATGTTGGACCGGGAGGAGTCCGAACTGCGGTCCCAGCTGCTCGAGGAAGGAGACGCCCCCGAGGCCTGCTTTGTGCAGGCCGCCCTGCAGGCAAGCACTCAACAGCGATAGCGATAACATAACTGAGTGGATCAATGAGAAAAATGAAGTTGGAAGGGTATGCTGGGGACTACAATGTTCTAAAAAAAAAAAAAAAAAAAACACGACAAGGAGGACACACCAATCGTGTTATGCCCGTCAAGGCGTACCATGTTGCCATACAGTAATCTGTCTTGTGAAAGTGTTGTTTGTCTCTCCCTGGTCACCCGTGTAAGCTCTAAATAATGCAGTATTAGTTTAGCAGAACTTTGCCCGGTAATTAAGTATGGTGGCTGCCTGCTTTGAGCTTCCTAAAATTAATTATAGGGGACTCTGGCGCTGCAGTCATTCAGCGACCATGGAAATTATAAGTAGTACATGAATTTGCCTAGTCTTTTTGGGCCTCGAATTACACTTGTGGCTTCGTTCATTGCATTGTTTCAGTTTTGTTTCGAATACAATAATGAACGATTTGAACTTCGTGATCCCATTCAAATAGGTAAGCCTAATCGATTAAGGTGGTGAAACGTAACTGATAAACTTTTGCCGATTGTTCTGTGACTAAACAGCCTCAAGCCATGCGAAGCCAACTAGTGCGTAAAGTACGAAAATTAGGCGATCCCTCGCACTACCCATAATTACCATGCTTGCTGAGGCGCCTTGTGTTGCGGCTCCTGTAAACACTAGCGCAAGAGTGCCCTCTAGTGTGGTGTACTGGAATAGGGCAGTGTGCTGTCTGGCACTGAAAGCATGGCTCTTCTGCGATGATGGCCAGTGCTGCCGGAGCACCCCTGTACTACTGTGTCGCCACGTGTGAGGGCCCTTTGATGTAATTTATGAGAAGCTTAGATAAAAAGCCTCCGAGATTGGTAGTTGTAGTTGTTGGGCTGGTCATAAAGTTGTGTGTATAAAAATGATTAGTAAAATGTATAAAAATTAGAGAGTTAGTAAATAGGATTTTTTCTTTTTTAACATTGCGACTGCTTACTTTTCTGGCTCATGCAGGTAAGTGTGGTCGTGGAACTCGCCCATAACGTTCTCCTCAGGGCCTCCTCGTTTGTTTGTTGCATGACTTCAATTTAGTGTGATAGCTAGACAAGGTTGCAAATATGTAAAATGAAGAGCGATGTGCTTTTTTTACGCGTTTTTAAATCAAAACTGTAAGCAAGCGAACAATCTGGGTCCCTGTTCTATAATAGGAATTTTGCGAGCTCTATTGTGGAAAAGGAACATTATTTATCTCATTGATGCATTCAGATGTGTTGGATGTATTTTAACCTTACAGATACTTTTTAATTTCAATCGGGTTATGCGACTATTTACTCAAAAACTGCACAAAGGTCAGCAATGCAAATTCGAACTATGCCGTTGGGCCCACCATTGTATGGTGGCGCCCTCCAGGTGGCGTCGGTCGCGAAAGAAAACCATCGTCCCATTCGTTTGCTGTGAAGATGATACGCTGCCCCATTCCAATACACCATGCCTCTAGTGTACAGTTAAAACCTGGATGTAATGAAATTGGAAAAAGTTAGCGAATTTTCGTTACATCCAGATTTTTGTTACATGCAGTTTTAACTAAGCCTAGAGAAACGATCATGAAAACCAAATGAAGATGCAGGGGATGCCAATACAGTGCCACTCACTTCAAAAAATATTTATTTAGCCTGAAAAAACTGTCATTTTGGCTTGCGTCTTCTCGCGTCAAAGATAATGGTACGCGGCCGTTGAGAGAAACCAAGTCGTCCAGTGCTGCCTCGTCATCTTGTGAACCAACGTGACTGCGCAGGGCGTCCAGCGCTTCCAAGATCTCTTTCGCGGCAGGCAATGGCGATGGATCGCCTCTGAAGCAACTTCACTATCACCGCGATCTTGGGCAGTTTCTAGAAGTGTCACATTCGACATTTTATTCGGTAGACACTGCATCCCTGTCGGCGTACAAAAGTCATCAAGTCTAACTTCGTCGGGCTCTCCACCATTTGCGCGAAGTGTATCCCACGCTTTTACTGATGTCGGATGGATTCGAAGGCTCCTGGGGTTCTCTTCGTCGACTCCGGACTCGGTGACCACTGACAACTGAGCTTTCACGAAGCAATTGGCAACTGCGTCAGCTTTCACTTCCTGCCAGGAAGCGGCAAGCATCTCGATGGCTTGATAAATGTCTATTTTTGTTAGCCATTCAAAGCGTATATCCAAGAGCATCTTCTGAATGACGCGACGGCGATAGCAACACTTGAAGCAGTTGATAACCCCTTTGTCTTGCGGCTGTATTAGGGACGTGTGATTGGCACGGAAGTACTGCAGCTCGACGTTCGACAGCTGAAGGCCTTCGATGTGGTGCGCGGAGCAATTGTCAAGCAATAGACAACTTTAGCAACCCTGACGCTTGACATATTCGTTGAATGCCTTCAGCCATGCAGTAAAAATTTTTTTGCTCATCCAGGCCTTTGAATCGGCCATGTACTTAACTGGCATCCGCTTTGTGCCTTTAAAACACCTTGGCCGGGCATTTCTTCCTATAACTAATGGTATCCTTTTGTCGCTGCTGTCACTGTTTGCACAAAGCAAGACCGTGACGCGTAGTCTGCTCTGCTTGCCGCCTCGACAATCGCGCCCTTTGAGCTCCAGCATGCGATTCGGCAATATCTGATAGAACAATGTCGTTTCATCGTCATTGTACAAGTCTGCCGCCTCTTAGCGGTCAAGATGCCAGGCAACTTCTCGGCCACCCACGAGGCAGAGGCATCGCTGTCAGCAGATCTGGACTCGCCGCTAATCACTCTACCAACGACACCGTGCCTGCTTTTGAACCTCTGCAGCCAGCCGTTACTTGCCTCGAAATCGTCATGGCCAAGAATACTTGGAAAATTTTCGCTTTTTGCTGCAGAATTATGCCACTTATAGGTACTTTGCATGCCCGTGTGTCCAGGAACCAGGAGAAGACAGCCTTGTCCACATCGGCGTATGCTGACTTCTCCAGTCTTCTTTACACCCGTGTTCGACTCCGCTGCCTCGCGGATGCTGTTTTTCGCACTCAGTATTGTCTACAGGGAACTGGCTGGAATATTAAATCGCGCAGCGACGTCTTTCTTCTTCTCACCTGCGGAAACCGCGTTTTTAATCGCAAACTTTTCTTCAAAAGACAGAACCTTGTGCTTTCTCGGCACAGAGCTCATTTTCACAACGAGGCAGCTTAGAGGCCTAACAAGAGACTAGGAAATGCCTGGAAGGCCTGACGCTCGCCTCACGGCCATGAAGGAATGCTCGCACCTCACCCATCTCACTGTTTCGTTCATCCGTTCGGCGCAGTAGGGTCATCAGACAACGCACCGCATTACCATCTCATAGGCTTTGCCACAAAGAAACTCCGTTCGCCGTTACGTGGCGCAAGCTATACAGCGATGCTTGTATCATCGCGGCACGCACTTGCCTGCTGCAATAGCTTACTTTCTACCTGCGGCTGCCCCCTTGTGTTATTAATTTTCGTATTATAAAACTTGTGCGTTGTACATATAAGATTTTAGCAATGTTACGACTCAAAATAAATGATCAGTGCCAAAAATTAGTAACATTTAGGTCAATTACCCCAGCGCCGTTACATAAAGGTCACAAATACATGGGCTTCTATGGGGATGGTGTCTGGGATTGAAAAAAATTCGTTATATCCAGGAATTCATTACATTCAGGTTCGTTACATCCAGGCTCAACTGTATAAACGGAAAACTCTATGGCTGCCAGGGAAACAGTTGTGACACTTTTCATGTTAACAAAGGGTGTGTGGAAAATGTTTCAGGGCTCACTACATTGAAAGCATGCATTTACAAGTTATCTGAGGAAGTACGTTTAAATATAGTTGGCATACCAGAATGGATAGCCACCACTTGATTTGATACACCTTCAGGGCAATGCAGGAGCAGCCTTGTGGTGGAGGCATACTCAAGTTTTTGCAGGTGCAGCGGAAGGCATTCAACTAACCTGGTGCTTGGCTTGCGATGCATTGCAGGCATTGCAGCGACGAAGGGAGGACCTCGAGAAAGAGGTGGGCTCACTGGATGTCAACGCCAACAGCCAAGGCGATCAGCTTCCCACCGTGGACGCAGAGGGCAACGTCGAGGTGAGTGCGGCCTTCTGCAAAAAAATGTCTTTCTGCCTGATCTTTTCAAATGTACTTGACTCACTTTTATTTTACTTTAAAGAATGCGAATAGTTTACGGTGTCACTTTCGTCGCTTCGAATACAGTCCATTCAAATTAATTCACCCCAATTTTCTTGTCATAGTTGTTTGTCCTCTAGGTTCTCATTTCACATTTGAGGACAGCATTCATACTGTCATAAGCTTAGCAGCCTCATGCTAACCCGGGGAAACAGCGAAA